AAGATAAATCTGTCAAAACTCCAGTCAAGACTAGTAGTCTTGGTGAACTTGATCCCAAGATTCAATCCGTTGTTCTACTAAATGATGCATATGGTGCTGAAGGCGAGCTTGGTGTTCTTTTGTCTTTGAAATTTATGGAGCATGATGCTTATTGTATGTTTGATGCTTTAATGAGTGGTGCTGGTGGTGCTGTTGCTATGGCTGAATTTTTCTCCCCTTCCCCGTACGGGAACTCACAAACTGGCTTGCCCACTGTCATCGAAGCTTCTGCTGCTCTATATCATTTGCTTTCTCAGGTCGACTCATCTCTCCATAGCCACCTTGTTGAGCTTGGTATTGAACCCCAGTATTTTGCACTACGTTGGTTCCGGGTCCTCTTTGGACGTGAATTTGCACTTGAAGACCTTTTGATTATCTGGGATGAAATATTTGGATGTGAAAATATGAAGTTGGAGAACTCCACAGAAAGTCAAGGGGACTTTGGCTGTATTGTGCTGAATTCATCTAGGGGGGCTTTCATATCTGCTTTTGCGGTTTCCATGATATTAAATGTGAGATCTTCACTACTTGCAACAGAGAATGCTACTGCATGCCTGCAGAAGTTGCTGAATTTTCCAGAAGATATAGATTTGGAGAAGTTGATAGCAAAGGCGAAATCCTTGCAGAGCTTGGCAGTGGATGCCAATAAGTCGACTCCATTTCTAAGTTATGATGGAATTTACCAGAGAAGCAGGTCAACAGCAGTTAGAGGTCATAGCCATTCATTGGATTTAACTACTACTCCTTTGAATTTGCTAGCTGAAACCTACTGGGAAGAGAAGTGGAGAGTTCTGCACAAGGAAGAAGAAAACAGGAAATGTATTGAACGGACCCAAGTTCCGGCACACAAGAAGTCTTGGTCTGAGAAAGTTAAAATGCGCCTGTCTAGAACTGAGTCAGACCCAGCTCCATCTACAGTTGATGGTGTAAGAGAAGTACCAAAGTTAGCTGTTAGAAGAAGTTTGTTAAAAGATCTGGCTCGGCAGCTTGGGTCAGATGGAGATAAATATAACCTGGTTCATGAAGAAAATGCAGGCCAGAGGGATTTGGTTGATGCTAATGGACAAGACCGAGGTAACATAGATTTCACTTGCGCATCTGAGAAGTGTTTCAGCGCAAAGACTTCTAGTCAACGGGATTCTTCTTCTTCTTCTGACCCACCTAGCCCTATTAGTGATAATAATCATCAGGAGATTGGATCAGATAGAAGCAGTGTTGCATCGAATTCGTCTGTCGGGGACAATAATGTTGAAGCATCCAGGGCTAACTTAGAAGGATCTCCTCTTCCTCCAGAAGGCTTTTTTGTGAAACCTGAGCAAATTGATGAATCTGGGGGAAATTCCACAGCTTTCTCCAAGGAACGGAAGTTTCTGTCTGGAAAATTTAACTGGTTTTGGAAGTTTGGCCGGAATACTGGTGAAGGGACATCTGGAAAATACAGTGGCTCTGAGGTGGCCAAAGCCCTCCCGGATGCAAACAGTCAGAACAATCTGGCTGCATCTTCTACAACTCATGAATATGATTGTAAGGGAACTAGCAAAGGGGAGAGTATAGACCACAATTTATTAATTTCATTGAAACATTTGGGCAGTTCCATGCTTGAAAATATTCAGGTATTTTCCATTTATATTCTTATAGTTAGAGTTCTTCACATCCAATTGAGATTGTTGAAAGTTAAACTAAAAGATACTACACATGTGTTTGTTCTTTTGGACTTTACAACACCACACTAAAATAGGTACATAATATAGCAGGCAAGATACCTGAAATGATGTGATATTGTGTGCTTATATTTAGTTGTGATGTATATCAATTGTAGAATAGTTGTAAAGTGATTATAACATTCCTTTTCAAGCTAGAGAAGTAGACCAGATGCTCCAAGCTTGTTACAAATTTATTCACAGGCCTTCTAAAGGATTTAGATAAGGCATAAACAGTTGATAATTTGAGCCAACTAAGGTAGTGTGTATATCATTGGAAGCAACCTTTTTGTGAACAAAGTGACAATCGAGCTCAACGTGTTTAGTTCATTTTTGAAAAATTAAGATTTGAAGAAATAAGTAGTCCCGATTAATTGTCACAGATCATCTTAGTAGGCGTATCACCTATGTTTGCAGAACTTTAGCTCAGTAAGAGAATTTTTACCCATGACAATTTGCATGCCCCAATATCTATTGCTTGTACTCTACATCCGTGCTTAGAAGATCATCTCCAATCTTGCATCTGCTTTATGGATTGGAAGTGTCCCTCGGCCTACTCATGTTTTTTTGTATGAGTTAAACATATGCAGTGATTATATAACATATTTCTATGAGTGAGCAGCGCAAAGTGATAGGAAGTTTTCTTAGGACACTGATGAAAACAGAAAATAATAATCAATGGTAGAAACCGTTGCCCAGAGCCGATAGACTGAAATCCAATTTTATTAACTGATAAAATTTTAGTAGGCGCAGGGGCTGAAGCTGGATGCGCAAGGCATCCAACTGGCAGAGATTGCAGCCTCCCTGAGTGCGCTCACGAAGGCACTCGCGCCGCCGGATAAGGAGGAGACATCGTCGGCAGCCTTCTCCAAATAGGAAACAGAATAATAAAAATCCTAATTAACTCCAAATAGGAAACAAATAATAGAAATCCTAATTAACTCCAAATAGGAAACAAATAATAGAAGTCCTAATCAACTCCAAATAGAAAACAAATCAAGATAGTTATAAAGAATAGAAATTAATTTAACGGCCCACAACAAGCCCACGAAGATGTGCTCAAGCCCATTCCCGCCTTCAGTAAACCCACGGGGCCTCTGCCTCTCTTTCTCCATGCCCAGCTCCTGCTTTCTATGAGACACCACCCCAGTCCCTGTTATCAGTGTCATTCCTCAAAGAAAGGAGTAGAGCAGAATTGTTATGGAACTCAGCTCAAGTATTTTGGTCAAAGAACAATCGGTGATTTAGAGTGTTTCACGTGTCTTGAGAACTAGTCTAGGCATAAATTCTGTGTTTGATTTATTGATAGCTACTATAGATTCTGGATTCGTGTTGTTTGTGATAGTTAACAGACAATTTAGATTTTACATGGTCGCGTCTAACGTACTTTGAATCGTTAATCGAAGCCTTTAGATTAATCTTTCATATGGAGTTTTCTATGATGATGCTCTCTCATAGGCACTATTATTTGCTATAGGTGATTGAGCAAGTTTTTCATCAAGATGAGTCTCAAGTCGGGCCATTGGAGAACTTGTCCAAGAGTGTTCTTGCCGGTAAAGGACAAGCTATGGCTGCTTTAAAGGAGCTTCGGAACATCAGCAATCTTCTGTCAAAGATGTAAGAAGCAATAGTAATTGAAATGAAATCTGTACAGTATATATTTTGTAATTAGTTATTCTTGTGAGTGAAATGATCAGCTTACTTTGTATTTTATAGGATTGTTATTATTATGAGTATTGTATCCTTGGTTAAGATATACTGCATCATGCCACTGTATTGTACTCTGGAACTTGTAGCATAGATCAGCTTGGTGTTGGGTAACATCATCTGCAAATGCATTTTCATTGGTAGGATCTCGATACGGGTTCATAAGGGAAGTCTTCTTTTCAGACTCAATCAGATGTATATTCGAGTATGGTATTTTTGTAAATTTGATCTTTCACCGGCCTATTCCAAATATCACCATCAGCAAGGTCATATTATTAATTTTCACCTTTTGTATCTATGCGACTATGCCAAGCATTTCCAGCTTTAAAGTTGTGGGATACAATCAAACTTTGGTGTGGAAAGATGTTATTGAGATGTAAAAAATGATTGATTCTTCTCACGGATGTTTATACACCAAGGTGTGAAACAATTTTTTACACTAGTAGGCAGGGTCTTTTGACTCTGGGAATAGTTTATTCGTGTAGACTGTAGACACGTCTTTATTTGTAAGGACACAAATCCTTTTCTGCATAAACTGTAAAGATGGTTACCTTTTGCTCTCACCAACACATATTTCCACAATTTGTAATAACAAAAATATTGTCTACGCATGATGATGTATAGTACAGAAATATGGTGTACAACATCTTTGTTCGTGCAATAATTTAATCTTTAATCGGAGTTCTTTAATGGGAGTCTTCTACAAGTTAAGGTATTGCATAATGCTATGGAAATGTGTCAGGGATAATTATCGTGTTCAATTAATTCAGTTTATCTTTGCATTTTTGCTATAAATATATATTAGCTAACTATTTTTGGGTCAATCTTATTTATGCTCAGCTAATCTCTTTTGTTAGGGAATCATCACCTTCAACTCATATAAAGCTGAAGGTTAAGCTTTTGTAAAACATAGCTATCACTTTATGCTACACGGTATAACAAAACGAAAGAAAATCATTTTCTTACATTTGAGTTTATTTTGAAAATTGGCCAAAACGTGATTAATGTTTCAATGCACTTCATCAAGTCACCTATCCAGTGGCAAAACCACACTCACCCGATCCCAAAAAAATAAATCCATTTCAATACATATAAACACAGTTCAAAACTCATATCAAAACAGACAATTTTTACATAGTAGAATGGGTGGCTTCCAATTGCGAATGGAAACTGAACCAACACCTACCAGTCCTGATCTGAAACTACTAATTGAGTATTTCCTAATCCAGTTACTCTAAAGTAGGATCAGACCCGTCCGAAAATTGTTAGGTCTACTTGACCAGCCCCAGATCAGTATTTCGTGTTCTAGCTACGTTTCATACCTCTGGGGAGAAACCAGTCCCTCTCCACCCATACATGAGTGTGGGATGACAATAATTGACAGTACAGAGACCTCCATCAAATTGTTAACTGGTACAGTTAATTTACTTCTCCACAGAACATTGGTTCTTCAAGATTTGTTCACATATGTTTTACTACATAAATTAAAGCATCGGTTCAAGAAAAGAAGGAATCCCTTAAGCAGAGTGAGGCTAAGTGGCTGGCTAACTGGTTGTTTAAAGTATTTGGAATAAATTGTGTAAACATTTCTCAAAATGTGAAAACACTACACCATATGTGCGGTTAGAGTGAGGAACATTATACCACAAAATTCTCAGACTATTTTAAGCAAGGGATCATCACAGATCCACATGTTTGAAAGCCACCTTCATCAGATAACATGTAGTTGTACAACCTGGACGACTCATATTCCTTGATCCAGGATGGTTCCCCCAAATGGAACAATCTGAATGCTTGGGAACCCCCCTCCAAAAAAGGGACAATACCCAGTTCGGGAGAGCTAAAAAAAGAAGCCACTCCAATATGGGATTGGAAAGGGTTGCTTGCTAGCAAACGAACATTGTTAAAATTAGTTGAATGTAGACATTTGTTTCAAAACTAAAGAGGCATAAATGAGCTCATTCCAAGCATCAGGGACTCCTGGGAGGCACCAATGGCTGCAATCTTGCCGTTTGCTGGAAACCTTTTTGCCATTAGTTGCCATTTTCATATATACAGATGGGTGGCCATCTTTGCGGAAATTGGTCAACCTTGTCACATTTAGTAGGACCACAGGTGTCTGCATTTCTTTGATCACTTCATCCACTATCTTCATTTTGGGAGGATAGTTATCAAGGATGGTTCCGTTCAAAACTGGTTCAGTTTCAGCAATACAGGAACCGCCAGAATCCCAATCCCCGCCTCTGTTTCCAAAATTGCAATCAAAATAAAAACCTTAACACACGAAACTAAAAGGTCTTCCTTTCCTGCTGCGTAAACATCAGAGAAAAGCCATCAACTTCAAAGTGCGCAACTTTGTTAGACATAATTGCCTCCTACTGACACTCTACCATCTAGATATGAAACCAAACTATTTTAAGAAAAAGAAATTGCCCAAAATAGGAGTAAAAACGTTTGTGAATTCCTAAATAGGACTATCATGTTTTCATTTAATTAATATGAGCAATTAGAAGCTGTTCCGTTCACCTGATCTGAATGTTTCTGATCTGAATTTTTTAAGTTCTGATCTGATCTGATCTGAATTTTTCTGATCTGATCTGATCTGATCTGAATTTTTCTGATCTGATCTGATCTGATCTGATCTGAATCTTTCTGATCTGATCTGAATCTTTCTGATCTGATCTGAACGTTGCTGAACTGATCTGAATATTGCTGATCTGATCTGATCTGAATGTTTCTGATCTGATCTGAATGTTTCTGATCTGATCTGAATTCTTCTGATCTGAATCTTTTTGATCTGATTTGAATATTTCTATAATTCTAATTATAATTATAATTATTAGATTTATAATTGTAATTAAAAATATAACTTAAATAAAATTACAATTATAATCATAATTATAAAAAAATAATAATTAAAATTAAATTTAAAATTATAATAGTTATACCAATTACACTAATTATAAATACAGATACAATTATAAATGTAATTATATTTTTAATTATGATTAATTTTATAATTACTTTTTTGTAATTATAATTATAATATTTATCTCTATAATCACAATTATATCTATAATTACTAGTTTAAATATACAATTACTCTGAAGTAATAATAATTACAAAAATAACAACAAGAACAACAATCATATTAATAATAATGATGATTATAATTATAATTACATTGTAAATCATAATTATAATTATAATTATAATTATAATTATAATTATATTATATTATATTATATTATATTATATTATATTATATTATATTATATTATATTATATTATATTATATTATATTATATTATATTATATTATATTATATTATATTATATTATATTATATTATATTATATTATATTATATTATATTATATTATATTATATTATATTATATTATATTATATTATATTATATTATATTATATTATATTATATTATATTATATTATATTATATTATATTATATTATATTATATTATATTATATTATATTATTATAATATAATAATAATTTTATATTATTAACATTATTATTATATTATTATTAATAATATTATTATATTAATATATTAATATTATTAACAATAACTATAATATAATAATCATAATTAATATAATAATAAAAGTGATAAATCATGTTTGAATTTTATGATCTGATCTGATCTGATCTGAATGTTTCTGATCTGATCTGAATGTTTCTGATCTGGTCTGATCTGGTCTGAATCTTTCTGATCTGATCTGAATGTTGCTGATCTGATCTGAATCTTTCTGATCTGATCTGAATGTTTCTGATCTGATCTGATCTGATCTGAATCTTTCTGATCTGATCTGATCTGATCTGAATCTTTCTGATCTGATCTGATCTGATCTGAATAAAATAAGATTAAGGAATAAGTAATAAGATTAAGACGAACGGAACAGCTTCTTAGTCTCATGTTTTGGCATTACCAAACTTTAAACATGACAATATTTTCCAAAGATGGCAATAATTACTCCCATTTAGAGAATAAAAATATGACAGTCCTATTTTTGAATTCCAAAACGTTTTTACTCCTATTCCGGAATTTTCCCTTTAAGAAATTGCCCTAAATAGGAGCAAAACCATTTGTGAAATCCAAAATAGGAATACTAGGTTTTTATTCTATAAATAGGAGTAATTACTATTAAGCTTTGAAAATAAAGCCACTTATGGTGACTATGGTCGTATATAACTGGTAATATTTTCCAAGCTTGGCACTACCTACAGCTATTGAGGAAATAACAACATAGTACCCCTAATTTGAAATTCCAAAACGTTTTTACTTTACTAACTAGCACATACACAGTTTTTTTTTTGCCTTTTTTTATTACTTAGGTTAGATCAAAGCAAGCAGTATATTTTTAAGGGATCGAAATTTTTATAAAAAAAGAAAGCAGCACCAGTTTTTCTTGATTGTAGCAGAATTGCAACATCAGCTTAGAAAAGCAATTGGTGTTCGAAAAATATACACTCACATTTGTAGATATAAGCATTTCAAAAAACAGTATTCAAAGTCATGGAATCAAGAATGGTTTTAAATGGAAACATAAACTCATAACGCTAAATGATTATAAAGATGTTACCCATTTACCCATTCTGAATGAAAATGAGTTTTACATTATCAAAAAAATTGGAAACTTAAAATTTTAGAAGAGTAAAGAATATTACAAGGAGTTAAAAAAAGTTGGTTTCAAAATTTCCGCGAAGCAGTGACGGCGTGACGCACAAGAGAGATCTCAAATTAACTCATTAAAAGTTAAAGATGCAGCTTTTTATAGTGTAATACAGACAAAAGATTAAAAAAATACAAAAGTAAAACTAAGGTAGCTAAAGATGAAGCTTCTCATCATAATAACTTATGTAAAGTCTTTTCTTTTTTCTCAAAAAAAAGACAACAAAATATTGCTTTTCAAATATGGCACAAGTGATTTTAGCTATGAAATGTAGAATAAGTGCTAAATTCATTAAAAAGCTTACTAAATTATATGAACAGTGGAAAACTAAAGTTTGTGATAAAAAAAACTTTGTCAAGGCACCTGAAATGAGCAGATGAGTAGCCTCTGTAGAATACTATTTTTTTCTGCCCCAGATGTTCATCTACCCAACTTGCCCAGGTCTTCAAAGCTATTCTATACGCTTCCATGGCGTCAAACTTTGGGTAAATATAATCACCCACTTTATAGTAGTTTTCCCTGTAACATAGGACAATATATCACATACACACAAAGCTAATTACTCATATCAAAGCCTTCCATATTGTTGGAGTATTTGTCCCATAGCAGCCCATAACAGCCTAATTATAAAGCCAAATATTAGTAAGATAAATCAGACAATGTATTACTCTTATCTGGCAAGCGGAATATGAAGCCTTATTATTATATAATTAAAGACTAGTTTGACTGTGGTTTGTTTGCTTGTTTGACACCACAAATTTAGAGTAGCTTGTTTACATTCAGCTGGTCTACTTATAAGGAACACATTGAACTAAGGGGACATGTTGGACTAAAGGGACATGTTGAAGCATTTGCAAACCAACATATAAGATGGTAAAAGATTACAAAATGCTAATTGTCAGCTATTTATCAGAAGCATGCTATATCATAAAGTAGTTAAGGCCTCTTCATGGATAGTAGTGATTTACAATCATACGAAATTTAACCTTTAATCATCCAGAAGCAAGTAAATCTATAGTGCAATATGAAGATGAACATAAGAGAGATGCACACATATAGGTAAATATGTTAAAAGAGAATTATTCACTTCCTAATCTTTTTGTACGGAGTGCCTTGCTAGGAAAAGGGCAAGTTAACATACCCCCTGGCTGTCTTTCCATGGGCCCACCAATGTCCAGTATTGAAAATGAGAATGTCAGCACGCTTCCAGCGAGGAGCTGATTTATCAATACGGTCAATAGATAAAGTTGGATTTGAGTTACCTTGTGCATTAATGCGCACTCCCTCTCTGACAAGAAAATGAGAACGCACAAATTCTACTGTGCAGTGGTAATCCTGTCAGACCATCAGAGTTTAATTCATTGTAATAATATTCCTGTAGCTAGTATGTTTTGATGCAATATAAAATAAGGCAACTCACCCATCACACTCCCTCATTCCTTACAAATTTCCTAGTTTGACTTTTACGTTTCTAGGAAATCAGATTGTTCTGCTAAAATTTCAGATATTCCTTGTTTATTGGGTGGGGTAAATAATACCTCAGAAGAGGATACTATTTGAGGGTTGTAGTGTAAATGGATAAGATTTTTTAGTCAAATAAGAAAGGAAAGTTTTATTTAGGGAAGATCCTAAAATGAATACAAGAAGATTAAATAGAGAGGGGGAGTAATAGCAATAAAACACCGATTTCATTTATTATTATTACTCCCTCCGTCCCATAAAATAGTTCCCGCATTGACTTGGATCAGAGTTTAAGAAAGTGGAAATAAAGTGGAAATGTATGGTTGTGGTTGTGTAAGAAAAAGGTAAATGAATGTGAGCCACACAAAACTTTCCAAAAAGGGAAATGAGAACTATTTTTTGGGGCGGGCCAAAAAGGAAACCGGGAAATATTTTACGAGACGGAGGGAGTATTATTTAAATTATAGGTTTTTTTGTTTAAAGAGAGGGGGTACTACTCACCTCAACCACGGCTGACGGGACTTCCATTAGAGGCATTTCATTTTAGGCTAAATAATAATTCAACGACCTAGAACACATTTTGGGTCGTGTCAAAAAAACAATTTCACCAAACGTAAAAATTATTTTGTTACTTTTCACTCTTACACTTTATGTAACATTTCAAATTATTTTATCATTATAAATGACGTCTTTCTTCGGGTAAAGTTAAATATTTGACATGATCCAATGGTTAAAACTAATAGTTGATGCTAATGAGCAAAACAAATTGGACCACCAAATTATATGTTGATAAAATGAAGTGTGTTTGATAGGAAGTTGTATGCAGAATCATGATTACTGGACGTTGTAATCACCTCAAATTTAAAAATGTAGTAGCCTCTTCCCTTTGTAATTTTATATCCATGTGTCTCATACATTTTACTCTTATTGACAATTCCTTCACGAAGAAGGCAGAGCAAAGACTCAAATTGATTGCGGTTCATGGAATCTCCAACAAGCATCAGCCTTTTCCCTCTTAATCTCACCAAAAAGTCTGTTGCATTAAACCTGCAGAGAAAGCAACAAGCATGTGCACATTATATAGAAGTATATGTTTTATTTAATTAATCACAATTTCATCTGCAAGTACCACTTTAAATCAGCAATGTTTATTACAAACCTGCGATAAATTTTCTCAAATCAGGCAAGTTAAGAAATGTAGAGATTGAATTCACTTAAAAACCCGAGTAAAGTCAATAGGGTAGTTCTGATTCCCAACAGAAAATTAACTGCAAGCAAATAATCAACCATCTTCCTCTCTTGTTTTGCTGCGGTGGATTTTGATGGAAGGACTGATAAAGAGTGTGAAAGAAGTACATAGTGGGAGTGTGAAGTAAATGCTAATGGAACACTTAACATGCACTCCATCTTTCCCAAGTTGGGATGCCAAGTTTGAGCAGATCTACTCTCTTAAAGAACGTTTAACATACACTATATTTCCCAAGTTGGTTTTCCAAGCTTGACCGGAACGGGGTATGAGGAATTGAATAAGTTGTGATGAGATTAATACTACAAGTCACAGATTTAATTCCAAAAAGTGACAATTCTGTTTAGAACAACCATATTAGCAAAATTCACAAAATTTTAGGGAGGGAGGGGGTATTTTAGTAATTTATAGTTCTCCAAGAAGTCTTTTATAGTACAATTAACTCTTAGTTTTAGTTCCACTAAGGAAACAACTCGAGAATCACAAAGAAGAAATGCAAGTCATAGCTAAAGAATGATAGTATGGTTGTGTGAATTGAAACATTTCAATTTCAGAGCAGTGCCATTCTACATAGATAGGTATGAAAGAAAATTAACCTTGGAAGATCACATCCATCCGGCTTCCATTTCCATTTCAGATACTGTGAATCCGGCCTGCCATTGCGTTGACAGTCAAATGCCTCATCCACATACGGGCAAGATCCAGGACTGTAAATCGGTTGATCATCATCTTTCACCCAAACCCCTTTGTAGAAATTACACCCTTGGGCACTATCAGCTCGATGACTCTCTTTCTTAGTAGAAATGTTCATCTCCTCTGAGTCAGACATCGACGGCACGGACGTCACAATACTCGCTACCTCGTAAACTTTCGATTCTGCCACTTCCCCTCCCACTTTTTTTGAAGAAATGGGCGGAGTTGGTTGTTCATGGGTTTTATCGAAATCTGGGCTCGAAGCGGCGGATACATTATACTCGTCTTGTAACAGAGCGGCGGTAATTATTCGAGGGGAAAGGAGAGAGGCAGGGTGGCGGGACTCTGAGAATAGATCTCTGTAGGTTGTGAGTTTGGGCTCGAGAGACAGCTTGTTGAAATAGAACAAGCTGATGAGGAGGAAGAGAAGGAGCAATGCGATGGTGTATAGGGCCTTCTGTCGGGAGAGATGAGTGGAGCAGGAAAAAGCCGCCATGGCGGATTCAAACCCACGATTCTACCTGGGTTTTGTTCTTTTGGTTGTCTTCGCAAACAAATGTTTTGTCTTGCTTGTATTTTGTCACAAAAAAGGATTTTATGTTGTTTAAATAAAATAAGTAAAAAAATGTTGAAAAATGCTATTGGTACATAAAGTGTATACAATCTTTGTCTACACCCCGTAGTTGCTTATGTACACAGGCAACTCGTTAAGAAAGAGACATCATTTGTCTCTCAATTGTCTGTGTATACAGGCGGTGTGTACACCAAGCACAACCCAACACATTTGTCTCTCAATTGTCATATGTTGATTCAAATGCCCAATTCTTAATTTCACCAAATTGGGGGATTTTAAAGCATAACTAATTAAATGATTTAACTCAATTTTAAATAAATGTAAATTGAACTATTTGAATTCATTTTTAGTTCCTTTCTATTCAAATTCGCAACTCCTGGACAAAAAGATTGGTTTCCTCACCCCCTCCCCTTTTCCTCATAGGACTAGCCTTCAAGTCTTTCCCTCCCATTTCCTCCAAACTCCAAAACATACCTTTAGAGTCTAGTTTGTAACTTTACCCATATTCCTCCAGGTATATATCTCATATGTTAATGAAAAGTGCACTACTTTAATTTCATTTATCACGCGTTATTAACACTTTTCCAAAAGAAAATAATGTATGAGGCCATTCACCTTCTTCGGCAACTTATGGAGAAGTATAGAGACGCTCACAAGGATATGCATTTGGTGTTCATTGACTTTGAAAAGACATATGATAGGGTACCTTGAGAATTTCTTTGGTGGGCCTTAACTAGGAAAGGCATATCACGCAAGTATATCAGCATCATCAAGAATATGTATGAGAATTGTATTGCAAGTATCCGTACTGATGTAGGGAGGATTGCGGAGTTCCCGATTACTATCAGAGGGCACCAAGGATTGGCTCTGAGCCCTTTCTTATTTGTCATAGTCATGGATGAACTTACGAAGTCAATTCAAGATGATATACCGTGGTACATGATGTTTGCCAACAATATTGTATTGATCAACGAGACGCAATAAGATCTTAAAGCAAAGTCAGAAGTATGGCGACAAACATTGAAGAACAAGGGTTTCAGACTAAGTCAGAGCAAGACAGTGTACATGGAGTGCAAGTTTGGTGGAGGTAGAAGCAGTGGTAATAGCGGAATTACTCTAGATGGTAAGGAGATACCGATTAGCAATATGTTCTGTTACTTGGGTTCCATAGTTTAGAAGGACGGTGAGTTAGATGAAGATGTATTCTATAGAATCAGAACATGGTGGATGAAGTGGAAGAGTGCGTCATGATTTCTATGCGATCGAGGTATGCCGACTAGACTGAAGAGTGAATTTTATAGGACGACAATTAGGCTTCTTGCATTGCTGTATGGCGTAAAGTGTTGGGCGGTGAAACAATGTCACATTCAAAAGATGAGTGTGGCAGAGATGTGCATGCTGCATTGGATATTTGGATGTGTGGGCATACTTAGAAGGACCGCATGGGGAATGAGACAATCTAATCAGAAAATCATACAATCAGATCGCGTTGGATGAGAGTAGCACCTATTGAAGACAAGATGCGGGAGTCGCGCCTCCGGTGGTTTGGTCATGTGCGTAGAAGATTGAGTGATGCACCTGTCAGACGAGTTGAGATGTGTGGGGAAGAGGCGTGTAAGAGATGGAGAGGAAGGCCCAAACGGACGTGGTTTATGGGAGTCCAAAATGATATGCTTCTTCTTGAGTTAGATGAGGGTATGACTTTGGAGAGAGCAAAGTGGAAGGCGAGTATTCGTGTGGATGAGGGATCTCGTATCATCTCTTTCCCTCATCTTTTTTTTCTCTTGTTTTTTATCTTTTCATCCTTATTTATATAATCTTTTTTATAATAGCTTTTGCGGCACTGGGTAATGATGATGATCCTTATTTATATAAACATTATTTATATCCTTTTTATTTTATCATTTTTATGTATGTTTATATCTTTTTATATAATTTTTTTATAATAGCTTTTGAGACTAAGGTTTTGATGATGTTGTTAGTTGTTGTCACGCCCCAGACCGCAATCCAAGCGCGTGTACAACCGCCGCATAATCAAGTGACGTCACCCGCGAGTCAACCTCACTTGATTACACAAGGCGTTCGAGAAAATAATCCATCCATACTCAGTGGTAAACATACATAACAACATCACATTTAAACCAATGAATAGCGGAAATATTCAACGGTAAGTCATAAGCCACAACCGGCCAATATCATGGGCATGCAAGCCCCAAAAGAATAGTTTATGACAATAAAAATATCCATGAGCAATGTTTGGTAATTTGAAATAAAATGAGGAAGCACGAACCACGTCTTCCTTGATTGATGTCACCCGTAGAAAGGTGCAGGTAGCAAGCCCTAGCTTCAACCTGAAAATGGTGGGGCCCCCCGAAGGGGTCAGTACAAGTACCGAGCGAGTAGCAGGCTAAATATAGAATAACTAGCGTTTCAAGTATAAGACCCAAACATAGGATGATACATATACGTATAGTCCTTCCCCCAAGTTTGAAATACATATTAGTATACATACACTTGGAAATACCCGACCCGTAGGTCATTGTTTATTTGGGAAAATAATAGTAGTCAATATCCTTGACTTAAATCCCAACCCACCCATATACCTATGAGTGTATAGAACTCCTCCTTGGTCAAATAAATTATCATAAGGACACCGCCCGGTCCTAGATCATTAAATGTAATCTATGAGTTTTGAGGATACACGCCCGATCCTTGGGTACTCCACCCTATAATTGAGTTTTGAGGATAACCGCCCGATCCTTGGGTACTCCACCCTATATAACCGAGTTTTGAGGATAACCGCCCGATCCTTGGGTACTCCACCCTATATAACCGAGTTTTGAGGATAACCGCCCGATCCTTGGGTACTCCACCCTATATAACCGAGTTTTGAGGATAACCGCCCGATCCTTGGGTACTCCACCCGACCTATGACTTACCACATATCACGCTAGATAGGGTCTATATCATATTTAGTCATTCATAACTAATTCAATACATAAAACTTATGTATCACATTCCATGCAAAGCCATGCAATTATGTAAATGTACAATTAATTAATATCGACCGGTATTAATTAATCCATTATCCACCGGTCAACGTGGTCGTTGACCGCCATTACAAACCTTGTACAAATCAACTTAATCATCACATAATTAAGTTAACATATTCATTTGTGCTTCTAATACACTTCAAGCAAATATGCATTCTATATAATTCTTCATATCATATTCTATGCATAAACAATCTATTTCTTTCATACAAACTTAACCCTATTGGCTAATCACATGTTTAAATATCTTTTAAACATCATTATGAATTCATATAACATTTATTTAGGTAATCTTATAATTAACCCAAAAGTTATAAGATATTAAGCCGTCCACTCACCTTGAACTAGCGTTAAGAAGTTCTACCCTTCTTGGTTGAACTCCGGTGAAACTCCGGTGACTTTTGGTCAACTCCGGCGACAACTCCGGCGACTTTTCCAACTTTGTGAAATCACTTGAAATACCTTTCACAAGTTCCTAACAAGGTTTTAACATCATAAAACCTTAATCAATACAAATAACCTATAAAAGGTTATTTTCCGGTGAACCGGTCGTTTTTGGCTTCTAAGTCCGTTCTTGGACGTAGAGCCACCTTTCAACCCATGAATCCATACTTGTGACATATGGAACCATACTAAAGGTTGTCTACATGATATATACCTCATATGGTAAAAGAAGAATGAAGGAGAAGTTATAACAAGGTCATTACCTTAATTATTCACACTTTTCCTAACTTTTTCCTTCTCAAACCTCCTTCCTTGGACCAATTTCTCTTGAGCTCGTGCTGCAACAATGGAGGTGGTTTTGAGAGCTTTTCCTCTTCTTTTCTTGAGGTCTTGGTCGAGCTTGGTGATAGGGGTGAGAGGGAGTGGTTTATTTTGTCTCAAATGACAAAATGTGTGATGGGTGAGGGGTCATCCTTGTACTTTGATGCCAAAGCCTCCTCCTCCACACCTTCCTTTATCATATCCAGCTCCCCTTTGTCTAATTGAGCACAAAAAAACGTGGGGTGGCCCCCACTCATGTGGGAGGTCATCCCTTTGTGTCCCGATGTGTACAATCGGTCCCGAAAATTGTATTTTTCGGACTGTTTTAAATATATTTTATTTTATCGGGTCCAATAAAATATATTATGTGTTCTCAATCGTAATGGCCCTTTGAAATAATATGTATTCCAAAACATTAATTTAGAAGTCTCCGAAATTCATTTTCGGGCTGTTATCCGTTAAATTGTCGGTACCGGCATTTGGGCTTCTTTTGCCCAATCGGCCAACACAGGGCCTTTCCACGACCCAAGTAAAATATCCACCACCATATAAATATTATCTTGACCAAGATGAATAAAATATGTGGTCTCGGGAATGTTGGGTGGTCCCCGCTCCCGATGTGGGCCCCACGTGCAATTTACTATTCACGCGAAAGAAAATAACAAAAATTTACAACTTCGTAAATTCATTAATCCTTTAATAAGGTTCAATACATTATTTACATAGAAGTAAATATATTTGGGGACGGTGTTACAGTTGTCGTCGTCTTTCTTTAATAATTTACATCTAATGGAGTACGTGAATGTTTATTTATAATGTTAATGAAAAGTGCACTCTTTTGATCTGATCCATAAAAAACATAAGTACTTTGCGCAAAAAAATGTTCTCAAATATGAAATCAAAAGTAGTTGTCACTTATCAATGCCTTATTCAGATGAAGCCAGACGTATTGTGTGATACAGCTTTAGCTTTTTGAAGAGCTTTTCATTGTTTGAAGGCTAATGTTTGTTTAATCATCTGCATGTTTGGCACACAAAAGATTAGTAATTTCTAACTTTTTTATTACGGAGTATTATAAGTCTTTAAAATTTCAAGTAAACTGAAGGACTAATTTCCACAAAAAAAAAAAAAAAACTTTTCACTGAACTTTTTATAACAAATTTCCAAAAAGTTAGAATATTTTTGATTTTTTTTCTTATAACAAATTTAATTATAATTACTTTATAGTTTTTGGTTATACTTTATGATTTATGAAGTTGAATCATTTTTAGTCTATAGCAAATTGTTGATATTATTTATGCTTCATTAGTTTAAAAAAAAAGCCAGTACATTTCTTAAACGTACATGTGGGATTATCGTAATTTTTATACGAGTATTATATTTAACATTTGTATTTGTTGTTGACAAAATTTTAAACAAAAAATTTAAATTATATTTAACATTTGTATTTTTTTTTTAATTTTGCCAACTTCCTTATTTAGTCGTCTAAAAAACTTTGTCGTTTCGATTTAAAATAATAAATACTAATGTAGTTCTCTCTTCGCTACAAAAATCTCAACAACACGGTTTTTATTGTATTATTCGACATGCAAATCAGAGTTGGCCAAGTTTAGTGAGACAAGCTAGATTATTTAATTATCCTCACTTTTGCCGGGGTGATCTTAACTATCTAACTTGTGTTTGGGAAATGGGTGTATAAAGAAGCCGTTTAATAACACTATTTTTCGGCTTATCAGCCAACTTTTTCACCAAACACGTAACATTTATGTTCGCGCGCTGAATTGTGTAATAAGCAGAAAAAGTAAGGTTGAGTTACTTTTCTGGCCGCATTAACTGAAATTATTATAGATGACCATTTTAGGTATTTTACATATAATTTTTTCTTTATTTTATTAATAAAATATATTTTAAAAATAATTTTTTCTTAAATCAACAGAATCAACCAATGCAGCCAGAATTTCATATATTACAGCACAATCAACTAAAACAGCCGATTTTCGTCCCACCAAAGAGACTCAGAGTTTACATGGTATCTAAACTCGTCCATATACAATATTGCACCAGACATGTCAAAGTACTTGTCCTGAACAAAATATTTAGTGTACTTTTAATTCCGCAACTCCACAACAGACGAATTCGAGTACTTATCCAGCCTCTTTTCCCAAAAATAAAGGGAAAGAAATCAGTTTCACCATATGAAATATGAATAACTAAGAAGAAATAAGACCGTTCTTTCTTGATGTAGCAATGTATGATGAAGCAACTTGAACCAATGCGCTACTCATACAACATGTTTATTAACAAACAAATGCTTCAAGCAAATTGAAGAAAGATTCAGATGGGTCAATGCCAAAGGCAAAAACACACCACAAAATATTTAGTCGCTGCATCCTTGCAGGCTGCAGCTAATAAAAAATCAACAGCCGTACTCTAGGGCGTTGGTGGACAAATGAGCTCTATAGTACACAAGTACTGCTAATGCATATGTTACATCTACTTGTTGGGAACGCCTTGCAGACTGCATTTCGAGATAGACCTGCATTAATCCAGTGCAACTAATTAATTGGGGAGGGGGGGTGTTGGACCATCTTTATTCAGTGTGCTTAAACATTACCCGGCAAAATAGGCGCATTAAACACTATCTACTTTGCTTGTTATAGCTCTAGCTTTTGCCTCTGCTGGATCCTGTGGAAATCATTGGCTTGCATTTCAATCAAGAAAAACAGAAAATAAAATTGTAGCAGCATAGACATGACACGCTTGGTTTGGAACATAGAATTTAAGATTCATTCAAATTTCTTGTATCATAAATTAGAAACTGCTAAAAAGAGCGTATTGATATTAATTAAACCACGTGTAATAAGTAAGGCAGGGAGCATGTAATCAAATAAGTTGTATTGTAGATCAAAAACTTATGCCAAACCAGTCACTAAACAAGGTCAGTCCAACATTGTATTGTAATTTCTGCCTAACAGATATCATAGACGCCTAGATGGTGTAAATGATTAATCTTGAACAGATAAAAAGTCAAAAGATATGCTGAGCTCATCAAAGGTCCTAACCCGGCAACAAGGAAATGAAGACCACTTGATTGGACGGCATGATGTCAAATGACCCTCTACCTAAAGGGTATTCCTCGAATCCTCGATTCTACAGATCTTATCATCTATGTCTAAGAAACTACACAAATCCAAATAATTTATAACCTGGCTAAAAGAAAATGTCAAGTCAAAGACCAATATGCACCAAGTCAACAATGGCTAGCATATGCAAGTTCAGTAAATACTTCAACTTCTAGTATAGACTTAGAAAAACATTAAATGTTTTATATCCAATGTTTCAGAGGTTATAATAATTAATAATGTGATTGAAATGTATTAATCTTTATGCCTCATTTTATTTGTCTAGGATCCACGTTCTATTTTAGTCTGTTCCAAAGTAATGTTCACAATCCTAATTTGAACACCAGTTTTTACTAGATTTATCTATAATTTCAACCTTTTGCTTGGTGGACTCTACTTTCCTTTTCTTCTTTCTTCAAAATGGGTACATCTGTCATCTAACCAACATCACCAGTATTTTCTTAAAAACCATCCTGACCCCACTTACTTTGTGGACGTTTATGTTGTTTAAGAAATATGATCTATCAACATTATAATGATACATGATGGACTAAGGGTTGGTTCAGGCAATCGTGAATCATCACACTTCAAGTGGATTCAAGGGGCGACCCCCATGGCCCCAAACCATTATCTCAAGGAAACACATGACAAATAAAATCATTATTTGCTTCGTTCCAGGCACTAGATTTATTCTATACTTATAATAAGATTAGCCCAACAATGCCTTCAGTGTTTTTGCACCACAGGTGATAAAAATGTAGGCAGTCAACTTGTTCTTTCTATTACACAAATTGTATCATATCTTGTTCATTTTCTCTTCTAAAAAATCAATTCATAAAGCATAATTATATCAAAGTGAGTAAAGTTGAATATCAGGCACTAGTCATGCAATCATTGAATTTGATCAGGAGAAGATAAAATTCTCACAATTCCCTTGCTCTCGTAGTAATCATCGAGCGCCCACTGATACTTTGATTGATTCAACCCGAACCAATACGCCACGTTCTCATCCAGACTTGCGTGCGCTAAAAAATCAAACCAATCAGCAAATTAGGATGCGATAAATTTATAAGCTGAAATGACAGAAACAGAAGAAAAGGCACGGGCCAATTCTCATAATAGACGATGATAACAATTAGAGTAGTTCCAGTAGACCGAACCGTTTTGAACTTTAGCTACAGCGTCCCAGAAAACCCCAGAACTCGATCGGGGCTTGGTGGAGCGGGTCTCATATTGTTTGGGGGGTACCATGACCGGAGGTGGAGTCTTGAGCGCCGCTTCCGACGGAGGGATCTTTGCCGGGGCCGGTGACTGCATCGGAGAAGCCATGGACTTGGAAGGAGTGTGGGGTGAAGGGGTGGATGGAGGAGTTATGAAGACGGTGTAGGGGCCGATCTTTCCGATCCTCGGAGGCGGCGTGGAATCTGGGTTGATCGGCATTGTAGCGAAATGGGAACGGGGGCGGAGAGCTGTGAGAAGCGCGACTCTGGTGACTGAGATGAGAGCATATGATGTTTTCAAGTTTCAAAGATTGTGTCTAATCTAATTTGATTTGCATATTTAACATTTTTTGTCTTAACATTGAATCATTCATATTAATAATTATTTCAATTTTTAATTATTAAAATCAAAAACTACATTATAACATTTTCAAAGTTGCAAACTCCATATTAGAATATAATTAAAAATTGACATCATAATCAACTGAATAAAATGAAAGTATATGACTAAGAAAAGTATCAGTTGCTTTGTTTGGAATCTATTGTTTTCTTTTGGGAAATGTTTGGAATCTATTGTTACTTGCCTCTTTTTAAAAAGCTAAACTAATTTGGAGCACCTAGGGTACTTTCATATTTTCACTCAAACACCCTAACATCTGATTCTGAAACAAAATTTAAAAATAGATCCGAGCACCCCCTAAAATACATGATTTTATGTGGTTTCTCCGCAAATAATTATAATTACTATCATCTTAATAGATAATAAATGAGATCCAATAAAAACTAATAAGGATCAAATTATTCTCCATAATATGCATAATACGGGTAGCAATTTTTTATTCATTTTAGATTATCAATTCAATATAGATTACATAAAATTATTTTTCTTAATAATTACAAATTTAATAAAAACATCCTTTAATAATTGCAAATTTAATACAAACATCCTCATCTAACAAATTTAGAGAAATGAAAATAAAAACATAATAATAATAATCACATTTATAAAATTTCACATTACTTTTAGTCATGTTATAGAAAGTTTTCATTTGTTTATATTTCCCTTTTTCATTTAAAATGCCTTTCATGCTTTCAGGTGCACTAGAATGAAACCAACCAGTCTTTTTGCTTTTAGAGTTGTTTCATAATAAACGTGTCCCCTTTCTTGACCGCAAATCAACGCATCTCGCCTCCGACACCCACTCAATATCTGCCACACAGTCGGGATTCCAGATCAAATCGAAGAGTCTTGCATCTTATTTTCAGATCTAAGTTCGTGCATCGACACAAATCTAATAGGGGTGGGCGAATCGGTTTACGGTTCGGTTTTTATCGGTTTCGGTTCGGTTTCGGTTTATTCGGTTTGAGGAAAATAGTACCAAACTCAAACCAAAAGAATTTCGGTTTGGTTTCGGTTCGGTTTGGGAAAAATTCGGTTCGGTTCGGTTTGGTGTTCGGTTTGATGTTCGGTTTATAAACTTGAAAATGATTATGTCTTGTTTCATATGTTACAATCCACTTTGAGTAAATGAGTAATTTTGAATGTTTTGTTTTCATTGAAATTCCAACTAAATGAAATACTAGAACCAGCCTTCACCAAACCAATTGAACAACCTGCCTTCACCTGCTTAAACAACCTGCCAATTGAAATTCCAACTAAATGAAATACTAGAACCTAGCTTAAACAACCTGCCTTCACCTGCTAAACCAATTGAAACAAACTAAACCAAAGACTCACATAGAAATAGAAATAGAAATATAAATACAATTTGCTATTGATATCGCCAACCATAATAAATACAAATATGTCGTATTAGCTAACTTTGTCATAATGAATGTTTGAAATGTGTAAAAGTTAAAATAATACGAGTATATGCTTAAATATGCATTTTCATGTCTAAATTTTTTATTTATATCTTAAAATGAAGAGTGAAGATAAATACAAAGTGTGTGTGTGTGTTGTTCGGTTCGGTTCGGTTTTGTTCGGTTTTGTTCGGTTTTTATCGGTTTCGGTTCGGTTCGATTCGGTTTAATACGGTTTGAAAGAAATAGTACCAAACTAAAACCAAATTGCATACGGTTCGGTTTCGGTTTAGTTCGGTTTGGTACGGTTCGGTTCGGCTAAACCAAACCGTTATGCCCACCCCCAAAATCTAATGTGGGCTAGTGAGGCGGTATTGGGTTGGGTGACTCAAGTGGGGTAGGATAGGGAGGTGACTGGGGTGGGGGCGATGGAAGATGTTGTGGGAACAAGACTGGTGGAGGGGCATGATTGGTCACTATGTTTGCAATACTTCAGATTAATTTAAAGAGATTAATTAAACTATTCATGTCAACAATATGCACCTTCTTTTAGAGGAGCTCATCAGATAAGAACTCCAAGTTAAGCGTACTTGCATTAGAGTGGTCTTGGGATATGTGATCTTTTGGGAAATTTCTTAGGGCGCGAACGAGTGAGGACGAAGCGCGTGTTTAAGGCTTGTGTTGCTTTGTGAGGACAATATTAAAGGTATGAAGAATATCTAGGAGTAATTATTTCGAGACCTGCGGGGTTAGGATGATACAAGTAGTATCAGAGCTTATCCATTAGATATCAGGTAATCACTTAGCATGGGAGGGTTCTGAGGTTTGATTGAGATTTGTTTATAGGCACAACGGGGACGTTGTGTTCTTAAGTGGGGGTGATTATAATATTCGAGATTAATTTACAGGGATTAATAGCTATTAGCTAAGTGGGGGTGATCATATCAACAAGGTGAATCTCCTTTTAAGAGAGCTTATTAGGTAAGAACTTCAAGTTAAGCGTGCTTGCACAGATAGTAATTTTGGGATAGGTGACCCACCGGAAAGCTTCTTAGGGTGCGAACGAGTGATGACAAAGTGTGTGTTTAAGACTTGTGTTGGTTTGTGAAGACAATATTAAAGGCCTAGAGAATATGTAGGAGTAACTACCTTGGGGCTTGTGGGGTCGGGGATGTTACAGTGTTCATGTCACTTTGGTCGGAGCCGCCTTGTCACTGTGGTCGGAGTAGCTGTGTCAATGTGGCCAGACTTATTGTGGACGAAGTCATTGTGTCACTGTGATCGAAGTCAATGTGTTATTAGAGAGAGATATTTGTGACTGTAGGCATATAATTGTGATGTTAGTCGCACTTTTTAAATTAAAAAAAGGTCATTAATGGTCAATTATCCACCTTTTAATAATATTCAGGTTAAACCCGTCTATAAGTGCCACATGTTTAATCATTTATTAAATTCCCCACTACTGCTAAAACGTACTCACAATATTAATTTGTGTAAAATGAAATAATATTTAGTCTAGTATTGATTTTTCACGTTGACGTTTTTTCCAAAAATAATTTTACAAATTAATCATTACGTTGAAAATCTATTTTGGTGCCTTGTGCGTAACAATGCTAGTATTGAGGATAATATTGAGAATGTTGGATGGTCATGTTGAAGAATTTAAGGGAATCAATTGTGATATGTCTCTAAAAAGTGCATTGTAATGATGGAAATATTGCAATGAATAGTGTCATTTGGAAATACCAAAAAAACAATAAAAAAGATGACAAAATATGAAATATCTATTAGTGTTAAGTTGAAATATGTATGAAATCCTTGATGAAAAACCATAATAAGGACTAAATGTTTTCAAAAAGCATGATTAATGGGAGCCATGATTGACAATAACTCTAAAAAGTGATCTATGGAATGTGCATTGATGATAGACACTAAGTCAATTTCTAAACTCAAATTGCTTTGCCGGCAAGAAAAATTAAATATGTGGATGTGTGTAGTGTTTGACATGATATTATCTTAATAAAATTTAGATTTTGATCCTCCATTTAAAATTAAAGGATGAAGAGTGTAGGTATCAAACTCAATGGACCATCAAAACCAAATTTATCGTGTTTCAATTGGGCACTATAGAACCATTTTACACTTGGGGGTAAAGCCAATACCAAAACTAGTTGGTCCTGTCTTAATATATATATGTGAGCTATGAGAGGACTAAGTTGGGGTCGATTACATTGTATACTCCATTTGTGTTAAATGGATGGTCATCTACCGAGTGAGATTTCAAGCAAAAAGTCAGAAAAATCATATGATTGTGGCTAGAACCAAAACACTCCACCATAACTCGCACTCATATCCCCGTGTAATCGTAGATCTATATAAAATATCCGATATAAGCCGGACCAAATACTACTAGGCTATGAGACAATACTTTAATACTCTTATACTCCAAATTGTTTAATAGGGATCTAAGTGTGCTAATATGTCTCTCTCTAGTTGAAAAAATGACTACCCAATTATGTCACAACTATATGTTCCAATTCACTTTGCACGATATTGCTACATAAGTTTCGTTATTATTGTCCCAGTCTCTACTGCTACTAATATAGCATAGATCATGATCCAAAAACAACATCATCCATGAATGACTCACCGCATGGAGGTGCATTTGTAAAGTGCGCCATCCCATAAAAAATGGGTACCCTATATTTGGTTATTTAAGATTTGCATGCATTATAAATTAATTTTATTAAACAATATATACTTCATCAATTTTTATGGAAAATAAGATCCATATGCACACCTTCATAAGGACATATAAGAAGTATAACATCTGAAAACTGTAGAAGATATATGGTTAAAGTCCTTAATGAAGACCATTATCTTCATATTCCACTATAAATATAACCTTTAAGTCCAATTCATAAAACTCACCAGTAAAAATTGTAAGAACTCCGATGAGCCTATGAAAAGCCCATTCTTCAAAAACACTCCCTCCGTCCTTAAATAAACTTCCAACTTTTTTTTTTCGTCCGTCCCAATTAAAACTTTCACTTTCCCTTTTTGGCCAGAATTTGTGGTTCACAACAATTCTTACACATTTCTTTCTCCTCTGCACAACTCTCCACCACACAATACCACTATCTTAAACTCTGTGTCAAACCTATTTGGAAGATATAATAGGGACGGAGGGAGTATTAGACATGTTGGGTCTATTCAAAAATCAATGTCAAAATCTTGATAGACTTGATTAAACATAGTTCAAATTCAACATTTTTGTCCAATATAATGACAAGGTAAATTTTATATGAATATTAAAAACATAGGTATGCACACTTACACATCTTTTCTAAAAAGATAATTATGTCAAAATTATTTCAATATGTATGAACCAAACATTCACATAATTTTCTTTGTAGTAAAAACTGAAAACTATATTTAGAATTTTATAATGTGTTTCCCAATTCCCACTCATATTAAATACTACTCCCTCCGTCCCGAAAATAACTTCCCACTTTCCTTAAATGGATGTCCCAA